GGAAATAAACCTTGCTTATGGCTACAGTATATGTTATGTTTTAGTAATAACGCAATTTGATATCACAAAAGGGCAACTACACTACACTTATCAAGTAGTCAAATTTGGCAATCCACGTCTCAGTGACATACTTTGGACATGTGTTCATTTCCTCCCTTTAGTTTCCGGTCATTGATTCCCACCTCTTTTTTTTTAATCTTTGGACCTCTGCTAGACAATTCTATACGTGGCAGTTTTTAGGTTCTTTTCGTTACGATCTCAGTGTGTCATATATAAATGTCTCAGTTTGAACTGTACCATGATGGTCCTATGTTAACTTATTGGGATCATATATCTATTCTGATTGGTGTTTGAATTCTGAGGTCCTGTTCGATTACTTTTTCATATTTGCCGAGCCCTGTTAAGCTTATTGATTTTGTTCTGTAGTCGATTTCAATCGGCACATGAAAAATCGGCGCGCGCATCGTGGCCGTGATCCAATACCACGCGGAAATTCTTAGAGAGAGGATCCTTAAAAGGGCGGCAAGAACCATGAGCCTGACCCCGGAACAAAACCTGAAGGTAAATATAGAACATTAATACTTATTTTTTTCTGAGATTAATTACGCTTAATTTCATCTTCTTATATGTCATATACTTGATTACATAGGTGCCTCCATGGTGGTGCACCTACGATCTGCAGTGCTAGGCCCAGATGGTGGACAGGTGGTGCGACCTCGCGTGGGAGGAGAATCACAACGCTTGTCGGGAGCGGCGTTTGTTGATGCCGGGTGCACCACACCATCAAGGCAACCTCAATCTCTCAGAATACGCGGCTAGATGGGTACGTGAATTCATTTCTTTATTCTAACGCTCAACTCTGCATAATTTCTAATCATATTGCTTTTTTTGCAGTCGGCGGCACATGGTGGCGAGCCTTGCTCCCAGTTCATGGCATATGCTTTGGCCCACAAGGGGAAGGCGACGTCTGACGTCGCCTACAACCTGGAGGACCCGCCCTCGGCGTACAACAACGAGTCCGTCCATAGCCGCCTCGATGGATACACATCGATGGCAAGGGTGGTCCATGGCCCAGAGTACGGTCCGAGCGCCCTTGACCTTGATGGAGAAGTGGTCATGAGGGCGGGAGGAGGCAAGAAGCATGGCCGGTTCTGGATTGGCGACGGCACAATCGACACGACCAGTACTCCCACTCTCTCCCAGATTCGAGCACGGAGCACGGGTTCCAGTCTGGCGATACGCCCACGGCCGGACTCTACACGGTTCCAGATGAACGCACTCTAGGTTATTTCTGTTTTATTCATCGTTCATTGATTTTTATATACTTTTGCATTGCATTGTAACATTGGGATGAAATATTGTAGGCTCAATTGGAACAAGAAACGAGGCGTCGGGAGGAGCTAGAGGCGAAGATGGAGGCAGAGCGACAGAGGATCGAGGCAGAGCGGCAGAGGATGGAACTGTAGATGTTTGAATATATGAGGGGTGTTTATGCTGCAATCGGCCATCCTCCGCCACCAATGCCAGTCCCTCCTCCTCAACCTGCTCCAAACACTATTTCAGGCACTGTGAGTCGATTTACAACCTTATAATCACCGTTTCTAGTTTATGCAAAATTAATCTTACAAAGATGCCCTGACACTAGAAACTTAGTGACTAATGCTATATGTTTGTTACCAACTAGTACTTAAGCAATCATACTAGAGCACAATGCAACTGAGAAGATATTGCTGATAGTTGCAAGGGTTATACTAGTTAGGCAGTAGAGAGACCATACGTGTTGTTTAATCTTGGCTCACACATGCAATCTCTTCTCCTTTGTGCAGCATTAATCGATGGCATCGAATGAGCCTCATGACCCAGCGTTGTCGCAGTGGAACTCGTGGCCTAAGTGACTACTTGTGATTTTATTTGCATTTGCATTTGTGGGTTACCTGTGACTACTTGTGACTATTTGTGGTTGTGAATGAACCTACTAGTGATTCTGAAGTTTATTTGCATTAATGTGTTGTCGATATATCTATATGAACTGCCTGTGATGCCTATTGTGAACTATCTGTGATTGATGTGATGTTTATTTGAATATAATACGTGGCTATGACCGAACCATATAAACTGATTATATATGGCAGCTTTGCTGAGTGTTACACTCGGCAAAAGCCCTATTTGCCGAGTGCCATGAAAGTACACTCGGCAAAGGGGGACACGTGGCAGAAATCTGTGCTTTCTGGGACTAAAATGGCTTCTTTGCCGAGTGTCTGCGCTGTGACACTCGGCAAAGAAGCCAACATTTATGCGTTTTAGGCCGGTCTTTGCCGAGTGTCAGGTATTTGACACTCGGCAAAGAAGACAGGTTTGCTGAGTGTCCCAGAGTTGACACTCGGCAAAGGAGGCAGCTTTGCCGAGTGTCTGGAATTTGACACACGGCAAAAGGAGGAAGCTTTGCCAAATGTTTGGGAGTTGACACTCGGCAAAGGAGGCATGTTTGTGTTGGTTTTAATTGTTTGTCCTTGGGTTATTTTAATCCCTATGGCCTCCACACGTTCGAGAAAGGCATGGAAAAGTATGAGCACAGCACATGATGGTGCCAGAATATATAATCGAGACAAAAACATGGCTTTCAATATGAGGGTTTTTTTATATATAATGGGGAACGCCAGGAGCCGGAATGAACCCACGTACGTGGTTAGAGTCACAAAATCTTGTCTGAATCAACAAACATTTTACACTTTATTTTTTCTCGTACAAAACGGCAGGTTGACATTTATCCTCCCTCCGTGTGCTGAAAGCTAGAACAATCTATCGCGCGTATCTTTCTTGCGTAGTATACTGCTGTACAATATTCAACTTTTGACTAGAAAGCTTATCCTCTAGTAATTAACTCCTTGCGATGGCTAGCTTTTTCAACTTATACAAGCATAGGCACAGCACATTCTTGACCGAAACTATATCTAGCTAGGCGGCGTTCAACGCGAGGGTTTTACAACACAACAGTGAGGAGGGACCCTAGCACCTGGAATGGGTCCACATGGTCTTTAATTTCTGTGTGCGCCATGAGCTCATTCCGTACGTGTGCCGAAAGAAATCGTTCCTGTTGCTAGCAGCTGCAATTACATACATAATTGACTATAACACACGTTCGATTACGTTACGTTTAGAGCCAACAAGTCGTTTCCGATTCAAAGTCATGCACCGAACCATGGAAGGGAAAAGGGTGTATATATAGCTCATTGGCTCATGAGATCACGTTTCAATGTAAGATGTAGTGTCCAACTCAAACTCGATCTAGCTACTACTGCCTGACACGTAAACGTCTCTGCATGCATGCAGAAAAACACTCCGACTCCGAGACATATGACTTTCTTGATATTTTTTTCTAGTGGCCATTGGCCAACAGTCTTAATAGCTTTTAGCATTGCTATAGAGTGGTTGATTGTATTTCTAAGTATAATTTTATACTTTCTCCATTTCAAATTATAGGTCATTTTGTACTGTGCGTTGTTTTATGTATCTAAACATAGCGTATATCTAAAAGCATAGTAAAAAACCAAAATGACCTATAATTTGGAACGGAGGGAGTACTTCACAACAATTCTACATTTCTACTCCTACCAAATAGCCAATAAACTCACTACCCCGGTAATGTTTTGCACCTGTTTGTCCAATACAGTATAAATTATTTGGCACTTGCACAGAAGCATTTAAGAAAATTTATTACGTACTCTTGTGCAAACAACTTTAAAATAAGCATTTAGGCCTTGTTTGGATGCATGTGTATTCACTTCAACCCGCATGTGTTGGAGTGGAATGAAATGGGACTTAGTTTAATTCCGCTCCAATCCACTTCAATATATATGGATTGGGACGAATACATGCACATCCAAACAAGACCTAAGATGTTTCTTTGTTTGAGGCTAGATGTTTTAATTTTCTTAGCAAATGTCCAGAATTTCTCTATTTTCTTGGTGTAACGTATCGAAGGCCTAGTTATAAAATGATATATAGGGCAACGTAAGGTAAGAGAAACTAATTATCAAAGTTAACTTTGAGACCAAACTGATTCAAAGCAAGTGTACTAGAGATTGTTCAGAGTTCATTTTGTCATGGTAAGTCCCTCCACCCCAGAATATAATAACTAGCTAGTTTGAGACTTTCTTAGGCAACTTAAGGAGAGCGAGTAAAAGTCTGTATTGACTTTCTTAGTCAGGTGAAGGAGAGCGGTTAAAGGTCCAAATTGCACCAACTCCCCCAATATGTTAGTTGGATCGGGGAATAATGACCATACTGGAGATGCTTTTACCAGTAATTTCCTGTCAAATCTCACTAATCATCCAGGTAATAAAACTACTCTCTCCGTTCTATTTTATCTGGCGCAAGTTAGAATGTACGGTCTCCTAGATTACACTTTAACCATTCATTTGCTTTATATTATATTATTTATACTTATAAACTTATAATTATTGGATAGTATAATTCCTTACAAATCTATTCATATAAAATTTGTATTATAATAATTGAAAATTATTAGCCTAATTATTGGTCAAAGTTTTTAAAGTTTGAATCTTGATATGCGTGTGCGCCGGATAAAATGGAACGGAGGTAGTATCATTTAATTCAAATTTAATCATGTGACTTGCGCTAATCATCATAGTAATTTCCGGTCAAATCTCATTAATCATCCAGGTAATAAACTATCATTTAATTCAAATTCTAGGTAAACAGCCATTTAATCATGTGACTTGCGCTAATCATCATAAGTTCATGTGACTTGAGCTAATATATCACCATAGTAATTTCCCGTCAAATCTCATTAATCATCCAGGTAACCTATCATTTAATTAAAATTCTAGGTAAACAGCCATTTAATCATGTGACTTGCGCTAATCATCATAAGAAGAGAGCCGCAAATGAAGTTCAACACGACTGTTGCCTATAAATACATCTCCTTCGCTCCGAGCCTCCAACACACACAGTTGCCACGTACTTACGCGTCAATCGTCATGGCAAGAACACCAACAATAATCTTGCACCTTCTCGTAACCCTTATTGTTTGCATCCTCTCCAGCGCAAGAACATCCTCCTCTTCAGCTTCCAGCAGCGATGTCGATGGATTCCTCAGCTGCCTCTCCGCGGACATTCCGCCTTCCCTCATCTACACCCCAGCAAACAACAACTTCTCTTCGGTCCTTGTGTCCTCTGTCCGGAACCTCCGCTACTACGTCACGCCAGACACCACCATGAGCCGGCCGCTGGTGATCGTTGCGGCCACCGAGCCCGCCCATGTCCAGACCACCGTGGTCTGTGGCCGCCGCCACAGCGTCCACATCCGCACGCGCAGCGGCGGCCACGACTACGAGGGCCTCTCCTACGCCTCTGTGGACCCCCACCGGCATTTCGCCGTGCTCGACCTCGCTGCGCTCCACGCGATCCACGTCGACGCCTCGAGAGCCGAGGCCTGGGTCGGGTCAGGCGCCACGCTCGGCGAGCTCTACTACGCCGCCGCCGCCGCCAACTCCACGTTCGGGTTCCCCGCCGGCAACTGCCCCACCGTGGGCGTCGGCGGCCACCTGAGCGGCGGTGGGTTCGGCGCGCTGTCGCGCAAGTACGGCCTCTCCGCCGACAACGTCCTCGACGCCGTGGTGGTGGACGCCGAGGGAGGCTGCTGAACAGGAGCACCATGGGGAAGGACCTGTTCTGGGCCATCCGAGGCGGCGGCGGCGAGAGCTTCGGCGTCGTCGTTTCCTGGAAGGTGCGGCTGGTGCCCGTGACGGAGACCGTCACCGTGTTCAGCATCCGCCGGCTGAGGAACGAGTCCGCCGTCGACCTCATCACCAAATGGCAAGCGATCGCGCCGGCGCTACCCAGGGACCTGTACCTCCGCGTGCTCGTGCAGAACCAGCAGGCCAACTTCGTCGCCCTGTTCCTCGGCCGGTGCGGAAGCCTCGTCGACACCATGAGAGGTCACTTCCCGGACCTAGGAATGACGGAGCGGGACTGCCAGGAGATGAGCTGGGTGAAATCCACCGTCTTCTTCAACTACGGCAGGGCCGACTTGCCGGCGGAGGTGCTCCTCAACAGGAGCAGCAATCCATACTACTACCTCAAGGTGAAGTCCGACCACGTGCAGGAGGCCATGCCAGGGCACGCGTGGGAGAGCATCTGGTCCAACTGGTTCGAGAAGCCCGAGGCGGCGCTGCTCATGCTCGACCCCTACGGCGGCCGGATGGGCAGCATCTCGCCGTCGGCAACGCCGTTCCCGCACCGGAACTACCTCTACCAGCTCCAGTTCTACTCGGTCTGGTACGAGAACGGGACGGCGGCGCTGGAGAAGCGGATGAGCTGGGTCAGGGGAGTGTACGAGGATCTGACGCCATACGTGTCCAAGAACCCAAGAGCTGTGTACGTGAACTACAGGGACCTGGACCTGGGGACGAACGAGCTGGAGGAGGGTGGTAACGTCACCAGCTACGCCAAGGCTAGGGTTTGGGGGGAGAAGTATTTCAAAGCTAATTTCAAGAGACTGGCGGCCGTGAAGAGCAAGGTGGATCCTCATGACTTCTTCAGGAACGAGCAGAGCATCCCTCCTCTTCCTGCTGCTGCAAAATGAATGGTAGGGATCGGAGCTCCATTTGCATTGGTGGATGGATGGAGGCCTTACTTCTTGGAACGTCCAGTGCTGGTGATCGTCAATCCGTACGTGCCAAGGAATTTCGCCTCCGATCCGTACGTGGCAGGCTCCTAGTTACTACTACATCTATCTATCTATCGTTTTACGATTTATTTCTTAATTGGGTGGAATAATTTGTCTCTGTGAAGTGGCGTACGTGTGCCTAGCTAGTTCGCTTGTTCAAAATAATATATTATCCTTTGTATTTGTTCAATTCAAACATGAGATCTAAAGTCTCTGAGAGCCCCATTTCCTACCTCCTACAGTTACGCACGCCTCCAACAGCTGTCTGGTGACCAATGTTAACTAAATAGCAGGCTATGATCTTTAGCGGCTAGCTCTTTTAAAAGCTAAAAAGGCTATAGCGCGCTAAGCCATATATAAAAATAAAATATAAACCACACATATATATTACAAATACCAATTAACAAGTGATAGCCTTACAAATACTATTATAAACAAATGAGTTCAAAACGGATTAACTTTGCATAACTGGTTCGACAGCCCTGTTCAGTTTCTCCCTATGCTTAGCGGGCTAAATGGGGTGCTATTTAGCTGGCGGCAGAAAGTGTGTTTAGAGCTAAAAGTGGATTAGCTTTGCCTTCGGCCTTCCCAGAGGCTAAATCCAGCTATAGCGAGCTATTTGAGACATTGCCGGTAACCCAAGGGACCTTGTGCGGCTTGGCCTTTTATCTTCCGTGATTCATTATATATGCAATTTGCCAATGCCCGCATGACGCACTCGCAGGTGGTCCACTATGGCCTCCACATCGCAGATGATAAGAACAAGGAAAGCAAAGATAGAGAGGACAAGAAGCCTGGTCAATCTCCTCAGTGCGTGCTTTGTGTTTCTAAAACGGCGCTACGCACCTGCGTCGACGACTTGGAGGATGAGGACGGTCTGGAAGGTGCAAACGATGGTGATGCCGGCAGGGGCAGAGATCCGTGATGGAGTAGTCGGTCGCGAGCCGCCGGAGGACGGCCTTGACGGAGCCGCCGGCCACCGTTCGGTGGACTGGGACTTCTTTGCCTGTTACCCAGCTGGCGACACCCGACTGCCGGCACTACGGGATACAGTAGTTTTGCCAAGTGCCAGGGGCACTCGGCAAAGTCTCAAAAACACTCGGTAACTGCTTTGCCGATTATAACACTCGGCATACAGCACACGGCATCTGTGTGTCGGCAAACAGCTATTTGCCGAGTGTTTTTTATCGCGCACTCGGCAAATGGTTTGCCGAGTGTCAAATTTGACACTCGACAAAAAAAAATGGTTTGCCGAGTGTTTGTGGAAAAACACTCGGCAAAGGATTATTGTTTGTCGAGTGTTTTTGGAAATTACACTCGGCAAACCTATTTTCCAAAGATTTTTTTTTCTCAGCATAACATTGTTGTTTGTCGAGTGTTTTTCGGAATTACACTCGGCAAACCTATTTTCCAAAGAAAAAAATAATTAGGAATTACACTCGCCAGCTACCATCTGCTGCACTTGGTTACCGGACCTGCGAGCAAAGGAGGGGAGGGGAGGAACGCCGCTGGCGAAGAAGAAGGTGGAGGGAGATCCGGCCGCCCACCGTCGAGATCCGGCCGCACGCTGTCGGATCTGGCCACCGGCCACCGGATCTGCGAGCAAAGGAGGGGAGGGGAGGAACGCCGCCGGGGAAGAAGAAGGTGGAGGGAGATCCGGCCGCCCACCGTCGAGATCCGGCCGCGCGCTGTTGGATCCGGCCTCCGGCCACCGGATCTGCGAGCAAAGGAGGGGAGGGGAGGAATGCCGCTGGGGAAGAAGAAGGTGGAGGGAGATCCGGCCGCCCACCGTCGAGATCCGGCCACGCGCTATCGGATCCGGCCTCCGGCCACCGGACCTGCAAGCAAAGGAGGGGAGGGGAGGAACGCCGCCGGTGAGGCCTCCCCTGTTGTCGGAGTTGATGCCCGCGACGCCGGTGAGGCCTCCCCCGCCGCGAATCTGCAAAAGAGAGAGGGTAAGGGACGGATCCACCATGGATCTGAGAGAGAAAGAGAGAGGAGGGCATACCTCTTCCGCCGGGAGCAGAGGCGCGTAGGTCGCCGGTGGCCGCAAACTCCGTCGCAGTGGAGACGTCGGCGTAGTAGGACGGGGTTTGGGATGGGTGGCGCCTCCACCGTGGGGAGAGGGATGGTTGGCACCGTTGTTGTGGGGAGAGGGATGGTGGCGCCGCTAGGAGAGGAGGGGAGGGGATGGCCACCGAGGGAGGGAGAGAGAGGGTGGAGGAGGGAGGCGCGCTGGTGCGTTGGGAGGGGAGGGGATGGCCGCCGAGGGAGGGAGAGAGAGAAGTGGAGGAGGGAGGCGCGCTGCTGCGTTGGGGGCAGGCCAGGCGCCCGCGGGGTAATCAAGAAGGGGGAGGGGGCGGGGCGGGCGAATTAGATATTTTGTCCTTTGCCGAGTGTCCTAGATCTAGACACTTGGCAAAGTTTTTTTTAAATTTTTTTCTTCTTCTTTTTTTCCAAAAAAATATTTTTTCCTTTGCCGAGTGTTATAGATCTGGACACTCGGCAAAGATTTTTTTTTCTTCTCCTTTCCCAAAAAAAATATTTTTTCCCTTTGCCGAGTGTCCTAGATCTAGGCACTCGGCAAAGTTTTTTGTTCATTTTTTTTCTTCTCCTTCTTTTTCAGAAAAAATATTTTACTTCTTTGCCGAGTGTAAAAAAAAACACTCGGCAAACTCCATGTTTGCCGAGTGTTTTTTTTAACACGGCAAAACTCCTCTTTGCCGAGTGTTGTTTTTTTGCCGAGTGTTTTTAGCGCAACACTCGGCAAAGAACTTGTTCGCCGAGTGCCCGAGGGAATACACTCGGCAAACAAAAAAAAATACTCGGCAAAATTTGAGGATTCCGGTAGTGCGGTGCATTCGGTGTCGGGTTGTACATGGTTGTTAGTGAGGTTTCATTTGATCCTTCCTACCGTGAGCACTTTTTTCAGAACATGATGGATATGAAAATTATTGTAATGTAGCCGTACACAAATTCTTATTTCCAAGTCAATTATGACATAATGTCTATAGGTCAGCTGATATCAATAATAAAAGTTGCCAACTATATAGTATTATTGCTATTGTGCATACTATATATAGTGTTTTTCATCTCTCTTACCCAAAAATATCCTTATATAGTTTTAATATGTACATGATTAATGTGTTTGCTATTCAAAAGATACCACTTTTTAAATTCTCGCAGCAAATAAAGTGCGGGGTAATCTCCTAGTATTTCTCTACATGCATGACATGAACATTGAACACTATGTGGAGAAAATGGCGCGGCGACTCTTTCCATCACGGGGTTCCAGCTGTCAAGGATTGTACATGGGCTAAAAATTCCAACACCAACCAGTCCAGCAGGAGATCTTGAAAGGATTTGAAAATGTGTTGATTAAACAGCATCCCTCATTCTTAAGTAAAATGGTTCCGCACCCTGGATCGTGTGATGCGTACCAGAGCCACACTTAATTGCTGTGGTGACCCAAGAGACCTTCACTAATTAATCATGGCGGGCTTTCTTATTTGGGCAGGTCCAGCTCGACAAAAGTACATACGTGCAGTGCACGAACTTCCTAGATAGGAATATATTGTGATCTCATTTGACCTTGAACAGATGGAAGCATCTCGAGTCCATGCAAGTATCCTGTGTGTACACCCTGGCACCCGCAGAAACCACAAGTCAACAACAGATGGCAAATTCAAAACTCACCAAATCTAGATGCAATCAGCAGAATCTCCTCCCACCGCCTCACAATGCTCTCATTAACACATAGTATTCCGAAAGTGCATTTCAAATATATATACTACTCCGTTCTTAAATATATGACACTATTAATTTTTTCATCCATTTAACTGTTTGTCTTTGTACAAATACTTATGCAAATAGATGAATCCACAAATTAAATCCAAAGTGCTTTTCATAATAGACGTAATGATTTTACTCTTATTTAACTAGCTAATTAATCAAATATTATTAGTCAAAGTTTAAGTAAAAAGTTTTTTTTTTCTCGAACACGCAAAAGGCTTGCACGGCTTTGTATTAAGGTAGAGAGAATTGCTTTAGGGGGTAATACAATGGACTATGGATGGACGTTTATCTATATTACGGGTTTTTTCCTAGTGATGAGAAGCCACAATATTCCTTCAATATTACTCTTTTTTCTATATGCGTACGTGATATGAAGACGACGTACGTTGAGAAAATTGGCGAGGTGTGTCTTTCCATCACGAGTAACGTACCCAAAACGGTTTCCAGCCGTTGAGGATTATCAATATCTGTGCTAAAAAGTCCAACACCAACCACCAAGAATTAATTTGGATGTGGTAGCACGTACTACGCGGCCAACCTGGACCGGACGCATATCAAGTTAAATTACACGTGCGGGCAAGTGTCAACGCCGTCCGCCGCGCGGCACGTACATCGTCATCTCCGGCCACCTCACGCTGAGATGACCGGCCGATCACGTCCCTCTTGGCTCTTGCCGACGAACGAGCGAGGTGGCGGGGACGAACGACCAGTGGCCGAACGGGGGCAGACAGGCAAATATAGGTAGTGTGACCATATTTTAATATACATGTATATATAATATAACTCCACAGCGACCGGAGGGGGAAAAAACTCTCTCGTCTGCCCTACATCCAAAGCACAGGTTTGTGAGCAGTTCATCTCACGAAGCTACGGTGCCGCTGTGTAAGGGTGGGGCAGAGGTTCGGAGGTTTTATCGATCTGCGTAAGAAGATCTTCTTAAGCCGGAAACCCGGGGCTGCCTAGCCACTGCGGATCAAATTTTTTTATATATAATATAACTATTTATATAATCCTAATTTTTTTATTGTGACAACACACAAAAGTATCTCTTTTAGAAAAGAGGACAAGAGAACTTTTTTTTTCATTTGAGACACTTTGCACATCTTCCTAGCAAAGAAATC